GGCAGACCTCTCCTGACCCGCCCGCTGCTCCCCTCAGCAGTGTACTTCATCGATCTGCCTGTTCTGCTCCCCACTCTGTCTCTAGTGAATCCTCTCACCCTCTGCATCTCTGGCCTGTACCCCAGTTCTATATGAATAAATAAATCTTAAAAAAAAAAGGACAGTATTGCTTAAAAATAATTAAAATGCTAGTTAGTTTCATTAAAAAAAAGACTAATGAAATATGTAACTGCGTTTAAATTACCATACTGTCATCTTTTATCTGCATGGTTAAAAGTGTATTTATTTTTCTTTCATTTTAGATTAGCATCAAGGTCATAGTCCAGGACATGCTCACTGGCAATGAGAAACTTGTGAGTGTGGCTTTCTCTACATTTGTAGCCAAACCAGTTGGGGAAAAAAAGGTAAATTTTCTTTGTGAAGAGATCTTTCATGCCTACTGCAGGGTCATTTTAACAATTGCATCAGCATTATTATGAAAAAATGGTATGTTTCTTCTTACTGTGATATGGTTTTCCAAGACTTGATATTCACCAGAATTTACTGTGAAAGTTATCATTCTGTGGCAATACTCAGAACCTTAGAGCAAAGGGGATGTAGCCAGTTTCAGAAAGAGGAAAAAAATATTGTGTTTTAAATGATCTGGAGGTCATATTAGTTTCGTAAAAATATTGCTTACAAGTTTAGTTATTTTCTTTTGTGGTTATATAACTCAAAATTGAGTTGAAATAAGAAAAAAAAATTTAAAGCAAAAGCAATTTAGCAAGTAGTTGCATGTTGTGGACCAATCATTTTTTTACACCTAAAGGAAGAATGTCAAAGATATTGAGCTATTGAAGTTTAAAAATAAGCTTCAGGACATGTGAGGTAAAGCCACCCTCAAAAGAAATACACTGTCTGGATCTGCATGCTCAGTGGGCTCGCCTGGCCATTGGCCCAGATTAGTTTGTCTATAAGCTGTTGGGGATGATAATGATTCATTATTAATTTCTTATCTTTCCTTTTTAAGGTCAGGGTGCCTGGGGAGTGCACACATTGAGTCAAAACATGTTTTAATGTGATTATTCAATTTAAAATCTAAATCTTTTACTCGAAGGATTCTCCAGAGTTGGCTTTCTCCGAATTCTACATTGAAGCCACAAAGCAATGCCTCTCACTCTGCAAAAATGTTCTTCCTCAAACGGCCTCCAACTCTAAGGCCAAGAGAGAGCAAAGGCCTCATTGTTCCCAACAGAAATGACAGCAGAGTCACACACCCAAACTCCTTCTCACTTGGACCGGGAGACACAGAGTTAGTCCACCGAGGTGGCTAGATGGTGGTATCTCTGCCCAGTACCAACAGGCCACAACTCAGCATTTTTATTATTAAAGTACAGCTTCCTGGGCTTTATCTCAAAACTGCTAAATTAGAATCACTACTATAGGAACTGGGGGTTGGAGTTGAACAAGGCATCATAGAAATTAAAATTTAAAACATTAAGATAGTTCTTGCCAACCATTCTGTTTTTCCTGGGATCTACAAAAATCTCCAAACTCTTGGAAATCAGAAAATGTGGGGGTGGGTGCAGAGTTCCCATATCTGAGAGAAAATGACTGAAAGGAGTCCACTTCTCCAAATCATTCCTTCACAAGGAGCAAACCAGGGCCATTCCTTTACTATTCAAACTTCAGGCTTTCACTCCAACTTCAGGGATTCATAGACTAAGAATATAGTAGTCACATTTCAGTCCAATAACTGCTGAGCCTGAAGAACTGTTTTTCAGAAGTGTTTCTAGGAGTCAGGTGCTTACAGTGCTACCTTCAGGAGTTGGCTCAAATAACCTTTCTGTAAAGCACCTTTCCCAGACTCACTTTTCCAGTTTGTGTCACTATGGTTCAGTGGTACATCATAAAGTGAGCCACGAAAAATCAGAGGTTTGGTTTGAATCAACAGGACTCACTGGATCTCTGTCCAAGTGAGTTTATTCCAGGATGAGATGGACAATGATTAACTAGGTTTAGTCAACAACTGCACAATCAGATCACTAAAGGATCTGCAAGAGTCAGTAGGGTACATGTTCATGCCTGACCTTGAAGCTAAAGGAGGTAGTATAGGGAGAAAGAAAACACAGGCAAACTTCCGAGACACAGAAGACTGAGGCATGGCTCACAGGAGCCTTTTCAAAGGAAATGCACTTCATCTGAGATTGCAGAGCGAAGGCACAACTAAAACAAAGCTGTATTCCCAGTTAAAACAATGCAAACAATCAGTCTGTACCACATTCCTACATGACTCAGACAGGCAGGCCAGAGGAGTTTTAGACTTAGGCAGCATGTTATAAATCAATAGCTACTTCATTCTATCTTGGCCAGGGGTCAGCACCGGTCTTTGGGTGTCCTGGAAACAAGCAGGCAGCTGCGCTGGGCAAGCTGCACGTGCCCATTCCCTGCACATACAAGTCAGCAGGCAGATATCTGTGGAGGAGCTCGAAGCCTTTGGTTCATGCTGGCTTCTAGAAGCTGGCTAAAGCTTTATTCTGACTTTATTATTGATTTTTTCAGTTTGTTTATTAATTAAGGTTTCTACACCAGATGATGAACTTTCCAAACTGGGAATATTTCCTGGAACCCCTCTTCTGATACACTAATTAGAGGAATTTCTTGTTTTGTAGTTCTGTTGAAATTTTTTTTCAATTCAAGGAAAATTAATATTTGGAAAGCTTTTTAAAGCTTCGCATATATCTTATTATATATGATGAAACAGCCTGTATTTATCTTTTTATTTTAAAATAATGTAAGTAAAAACACCCAGGAACAGAATTAGTGTATTTACTTTGAATTAGAAAAAGATGCACATATACCTTGTTTTTGCAGAATTCATGTTGTGCTTTTATAATTCAACAAAGCGATGAAATAAAGTTTTTCTTTCTTCAGATTAATTTAAAACCAGTCACACTTCTAAATGAACAAGATCGTATAGAACATAATCTGGCTTCTGAAAGAAGGAAAGTTCGATTACAACATGAAGACACCTTTAAAAATTTGATGAAGGAAAGTAGCAAATTTGATGGTCAGTAAATCTGTTTGTAGGAACTTTTTAAATATATGACTGTGAAGGTGAATGGGACACTTTCTGGGAGCACACTTACTGTCACCTATCAATGCAATCCTATCCTAGAGATGACATGTATCTTTGCCAACAATTACAGTGGCTGGAGAGGAAGGGGCTGACTATTCAGAATAAAACTCTGATACCCAAGAACCCGCTAAATGAGAAGGTCTCCAAGCGAAGTGACAGGAAGGAAAGGCAACAGAGACCAGGAGGTCCTTCTTATTAACAAGTGTGTATTCTATGTGATCAATGATCGAAGAAATGACAATCCAAAATCAGTCCAGTGCTTCATGATTATTAAACAGTGTCTCCTTCGTTATTCCATATGACATGAATATAGTCCTAATAAAGGAAGAAAGTGAAATTTTTTGCCAAAGATCACAGAGAATAGGAATCATCCAAGACACTGTGCTTGATGAGCCAAAGTTTCTTATTTACCTGGTGATTTCCCCAGCTCTGTGAGAACTTGTGGAGCTAGATTAGTAGAGAAAAGAGACTCATGCTCTCTCTCCCCTCTCCTTCTTTCATATCTGAGGTACCTCCTGAAGCCCAGGAGAAATGACCTCTGATGCTGAGCAAAGTAGGGGAGAGGAGGAAGTGTAGTGGTCCAGTCCTTCTTGCCTCAAGGGACATCACTGTGGTCTGAGACAAGATCTCTAGATTGGAAAACAGTTTTTCAAAGACTTCCACTCATAACTAACCTTTTAAAAAAGACAATGCCTGTTATCAAGTTATTTTTATGTAAAGGAAGACTTGGGTATTAAGTCACTTGCCAAGAAGATACCATCAGAACTCAGCTCCAAAATGCTTTGAATACAGTTTGCTAAGATAAGGAAATAATGGTCATCACAGCTCTTAGAGCTGTTTGGTGACTTCAGAGCACCTGCTTTCAGGGGAAACTGATGCACTGAGTAGTAAATATCTACACCAGTCAGAAGTGTCCTCAGCAGTGCTGGCACTTGACAGGAACTCAGTGTTCTCATGGTGTTTTCCTGTACTTTAACCATGAGAGGTGGACTCTGTCCTCTAGACCCAGTTACACAGGAATAAGGGTACTTCTGGCAGCCCACTTACTTCTCCCCCTGCTTACTTATTCCTAAGCTTGATCACTAGACTTACTGGCTCATCTGTTCGCAGCCACAATCACTGGCCAGCAAGAAGCGACCAATTTTTTTTTCTTACCAGGAACCTATTGCCCATACTCAAACCACTGGCTTTTCTGTTTTCTCCATTCACCATGGCAAAATTAAAGATAAGCAAACATAACTGTAAAAAAGCACAATAAATGTACTGATTACTCAATAGATTTTGTAAGGATTAAATGGGTTAGCATAGATTGCTGGTCATGTAGAAAGTGTTTATTGTTATTTAAGAGGTTTCCATGTATAGGAAGGATTGCAGACACAGATGAAGATAATTCTTACAATGAACTGTACTGTGAAGGTGGAAGAAATGGCCTAGAGCTAGAGAGGACCCCCAGGTGAACAGGCATTTTTTTTCAGGATAGAAAACATTTAATCATGGTTTCAGGCTGATTAACACTAGATATGATAACATATCATTATGAGGAAAGGTTGATAATAAGACACCATTGTTATCAAAACTATACATCAATGACATAAATTATCATATCTTTGCCCTGGAAAGGATTTATAATGATCTCTGCTACTCTGACTTTTCTCAAAATGTCAGTTCATTGGAAAGGATTGCTATGCCTAGTGATTAAATCCTCCTTCACTCTACTCTCAGAGCAAAGTGAGCCAGGTGAACTTGGCTGGCAACATTGGGTTCTTCTGTGTTACACAAATTATACTGATAAAGAAAATCAGGAGCTATTGGTTACACGCAGCTACACCCCACCAACATTACTTTACATACTAGAGATGTTCACACGTGCTACAGCCATTCAAAGAGAGGTAAAATGATTACAATTGACTTCCGCTTCAGTTAGGAAATTGAACAGTGTAGATCTATAGGTCTGGTTCAATTAATAATCATATATTTTATAAAGACTGTTTATATCTGTTTCATCTAGTGCACCCTATTCCTTGCACAAAAAACTTAAACCTAACTTCACTGATTTGTTCTTTTTGGAAACTTTCCCGGCTTCCATGCCACCCAAGATACCACAGAACTTAAAAGCAATTTCTCTTAAAAATATCGGACCCCTAGAACTTAAAGTTGACATAGAGCATGTCGTTTGTCTACCTTCTGCCCTGCAAGTCTGATAAAGTTGTTCTGAATTAGACAATGTGATCTAATGGCAGACAACAAGATTGTCTTTGTGAGTGAGCTGGATTTTTAGGAAAAAACAGCATTCTGCATTGGTTGTAAAATCAGATATAAAAGATTGGCATCATTGTCAAGAAGTATGGTTGAATACCTATTTTTAAAAGATGAGAAACTTGAATACAAATCACATGCTTTCAGAAAGAAAAAGAAAAGGAAACAGGATTATGTAAAAGTGGGACTTTTTGGAGAAGGGGCTTTTATACCAGTGGGTCATTGTTTAGAAGCTTGGCATGTAGGTAGACTTAAGATTAAGAGCACTGAAATTATGTTTTAGTAGAAAATCAAATCTTCAATGTGTTAATCCTTTCTGGTTATGAAGGGAAAATATTAGGTCAATTCAGGTCAAAGATCCTGATATAAAAATATGGGATTGATGTAAAATTGTCCAGAATGGTGACACAACACTTAATGTATCATTTAATGGAAATACATCCAAGTACAAGCCACAAAATTGGCCACTGGTCAAGTGGGTCCCTATTTGGAAATCTACATAAAGAATGAGGTCTGTTTACTGTCCTGTACTCTGGGAACAGAGCCAGAGTTGGATTTTTAACCTGGGAGAGCCTATTTCTTCATTTGCTGGCAGCTTCCTGCAAGTAGGCATGCTTCCCTGTACTGAAGTCACCTGTACTTAGTGCCTCTGCACACCTCATAGCTGCTGCATGTGCACATATGACCTGTCCGAGGACTCACCTCCTCATGTCCCAGTGCCTGCCAGACACATCTTCACAGAAAATGAGTAGATTTTTCTTCAAAGTTAACCCTGAAAGTAGAAATAGTTGTCCTATATTTGAATTTTCACAGTGCCTCTTTTGTTATAAGATTCTCAATTAACTTTTATTTTACAATTAGGTTCTAATTATTTAAAAATAGATAATACATGTAAAGCTGAAAAATGCAAAGGGTGTAAGGGAAGAATCAATGAAAAGACTAAGTCTCCCTTTCATCCACATGTCCCAGTTACCCAGTTCCCATCCTCAGAGACAACTATCACACACATATATATGCACATTTGCAGATACTAGTAACATTTGAAGCAAATAAAATAGATATTTCATGAAGAGGTAACAATATTAAGTTATATACCTACTTTTTTCATTAAAAAGTCTTTTCCAGCAATAATTTATATTAATTTATTTTGAAGTATCATTTGAGTTATAGAAATTAACCTTAAAAATCAATATTAACCAGCTGGTGGCACAGTGGGTTAAAGCACAGAACAAAGAAGCTTAAGCCACTTCCGCATGAGTTTGATCCCCGCCTGTCCTGGAGGAGATCCACATGGCGTGGCAGACCTCTCCTGACCAGCCCGCTGCTCCCCTCAGCAGTGTACTTCGTCGATCTGCCTGTTCTGCACCCCACTCTGTCTCTGGTGAATCCTCTCACCCTCCGCATCTCTGGCCTGTACCCCAGCTCTGTACAAATAAATGAATAAATTAATTTTTTTTAAAAAATCAATGTTAGTTTGATATATATATATATATAGATATATATATATATCATCTAACAAAATCATCTAATTATCTAAAAATTTTTGACACAATGTCTGGGAAAAACTAATATTTTGGAATAAAACATTACAAACATCTTTACCAACACCTCTCAGCAGGCAAAAAATAAGAAAAAATCTTGAAGTCCAGAAATGGTGAGGAACCCTAAATGAAACAGTGCTGATAAAACTTGGACTGTGGACTAAATCAATAGTTTGAACATTCAGTAAATTTTTAATGAGCACCTGTATTCAGAAAAACAAATACAATACTAAAGTAAAAATTATATTACTTTAAAGTAAAAACAAATAGAGGCACAGTCCAAAGGAGTTTAGTATTGAGTGGGTCGGATAATCAATTATCACACAGACATAAAACTATAACGATGAAGGTACTTATGGGCAGGGGCTCATAATATAAGAATTAACTGTGATGGTCAGAGATGGCTTCCTTCAGCACTTAATTCCAGTCACCAAATGCAGGCCATTGTCATTGGAACAAAGAGAGACCAAGATTGAGAGAGAATACAAGGGTGAAGGAAGGTTGCTAGTGAAAATCAGACTAGCTGGGGTTAGAGCAATAGGCATTGGCCAGACAAGGTTAGAATTGCTGGCAGGTCATGAGAAGGAGTTGAATTTTTAGACTTCAATAATAGGAAGTAACCTAGATATACTTAAACAGGAATTAAATGATGGGTTGGAAGCAATGTGAAAAATAAAAGACCCTTGATGCATTCTAAATTTAAGAATTCTACTCAGAAATTAAATTTAAAATCTCTGTAACCACATTTCTCTCTCTTATATGTGACTATGCCGTTCCCAGATACCAACAACTGCTGGTATCAAGCTCAGCTCTGCCTTTGACAGTACAACCAGTATGGTAGCCCTGAGTTGCAAACCTCCCCCCCACCTCCTCAACCACAGCACATAACATTTAAGCCTAGCTGGTGATTTACTTGTTGATGCAGGAAGCATAACTGAATACATTTTACCTCTTTGCAGCCAGAGTAAATGATTTTGCCATTATTGAGTATATAAAAACCAATTTGTCTGAAAATGAAGCAGATATGATTCAAAGCAAGCAGGTCACAGAAAAGTATAATGTATTATGTCTTGTCCATTTGTGACTGAATTCATCACAAAACTGCAACCACAGGAGGCCATATTCTAAAGTGTATAGAACAGTAAACTACTCCAGATTTTCAGTGGTTATCATTTATAGCTGAAACTCCTTTGTTTTCAACAACTCTGTTGAGTTATAATTGACATGCCATAAATGGCCCAGACTTAAGGTGTATAATTTGATAAGTTTTGAGATGCATATAACCACTGAATCTATCACCACAATAAAGAAAATGACATATCTATACTCCCAAAATTTCATTCTGCCCTCCCCCATCATGACCTGCTCTTCCTTTGCCCCCAACAATTCAAATTTAAATATAACTCAAGTTTAAATAGTCTGGACTAAATTTAACCAAAGAGATGAAAGATTTGTACACTGCAATCTACAGGACATTGCTGAAAACACTAGAAGATACAAATATATAGAGAGATAGTTGATGTGCCTGCAATGGAAGAATTAACAGTTAAAATGCCTGTATTACCTAAAGTAATACACAAATCAATATCTCAATGGCATTAATCACAGATATAGAATTTAAAAAAATCAAGAAGTTAACTTGTAACTACAAAAAACACCAAAAAGCAAAAGCAATCTTGGGGAGGGGGGCAGAGATGAGGGTACAGTGTCCTCATTTCAAAACTACACAATAATGTGATAGTGGTCAATACTGCATGGTATTGGAATAAAGACAGGTGCACAGATAAATAAACAGAATTGAGAAACCCACAGATATGGACAACTAACTTACATCAAAGGAGCCAAGAGCGTACATTGGAGCAAGGTTAAGTCTCTTCAGTAAATGTTGTTGGTAAAACTGGACAGCCATATGCAAAAGAATGGAAATAAGCCCCTATCCCACACCATATGCAAAAAATAATTCAAAATGGATTAGAGATTTATATTAAAGACCTAAAACCATAAAATAAATAGAAGAAAGTATAGTCAACATGTTTCTCGCCATCAACCTTAGAGATGGGGAATGCTACTCCAAAGGCAAAGAAAACAAAAACAAAAATAAATCAGAATATATATTGACTAAAAAAATTCTTGCACCATGAAAGAAACTACTTCAAATGAAAATATATTCTAATGATAGGGAAGATACTTGCAAATCATATATCCAGTAAGGGATTACTTTCCAAAATATTTAAAGAATTCATAAAATTCTGCAACAACTACAACAACAACAAAATAATAATAATAATAATAATAAAAACAGCAGAGTATCTAAATAGAAACTTCTCCAAAGAAGATACACAGATGTTCAACAGACTCACAAAGTGATGCTGATGCTTAACCCCTCTTATTCTTAGGGAAATGCAAGTCAAAACACAAGCTATCACCTCATACTTGTGGGAATAGCTATTCTGCAAAAGACAAGAAACATCAAGTTTTGGCGAGAAAGAGGCCCTGTACACTGTTGGTGGTGACGTAAACTGTGCTGGCAGTATGGAGATCCTTAAAATTTTAAAATTGATTTTCTACACAATCCAGTTTCCCCAATTCTAAATAGTTACCCAAAGAATATATCAACTGGGCCCTCCCTGGTGGCGCAGCAGGTTAAAGCACTGCACTAAGAAGCTAAAGCCACTTCCGCATGAGTTCGATCCCCGCCTGCCCCGGAGGAGATCCACATGGCGCGGCAGACCTCTCCTGGCCCGCCCGCTGCTCCCCTCAGCAGTGTACTTTGAACATCTGCCTGCTCTGCTCCCCACTCTGTCTCTGGTGAATCCTCTCACCCTCCGCATCTCTGGCCTGTACCCCAATTCTGTATGAATAAATAAATAAATCTTAAAAAAGAATATATAAACTAATTTGAAGAGATATATGCACCCCATGTTTACTGCAGCATCATTTACTGTAGCCAAAAATTAAGCCACCCAAATGCCCACAGATGGATGACTGAATAAAGATGTGATATAGATGTACAAGGAAATACTACTCAGCTATTAAAAAGCAAAGAAATAAATGATGACAGGAAACTCCGATGAAACCGTCATTTGCAACAAGATGCATAGAACTAGAGGATATTGTGCTTAGTGAAATGACAAAACAAGCACCATATGATTTCATTCATAAGTGGTACATAAACAAAACAAATTTAAAAAAGAAAATTTTTAGATTGTAAAAACAAATTAGTAGTTACCAGAAGAGGAAAAGGAAGTGGGTAGATTAGGTAAAAAGAGTTGTAAAGGATAGAGTCAAACTTTAGTGGTGAACTTAAGGTAATACATACATTGATTTATATGATGTGAAACTGAAACCTGTATAATGTTATAATGCAATGTTACTTTAATAAAAATTTATTGGAAAAGAAATGTACTATAAAATGGATTATTAAATAAACAAAATCATTCTTTTAATTAAAATTCCCATAGACCTTTAGATACAATTTAAAAGGCCTGTTCTGATATGTTGCCTAATTCATTATAAATTTCCCATTCAGATGAAAGTCACTATAGAAAAAACAAAAATCTGTGTATGTCCTGGGGAGTTTGAAGTCTTCAGGCATGATTTAATTTTTCTAACCCCCCCCCCGAGATGTGAGTGCTATTGGAATGGCAAAGCTGAAGCCCCAGTTTCCACCATCATTAACCTCTGTACCCACCTTTCAGATCCTGTTTTCGATGAAGAGGAAGGAAGGATTTCCACAAGGGGAACCTCTGTTCAGAGCATTGAACTTGTACTTCCACCCCATGCAAACCATCATGGAAATACATTTGGTGGCCAGATTATGGCCTGGATGGAGACGGTGGCAACTATTTCTGCAAGGTTCTTGATTTTAGCCTTCCGTGTACAACATTGGGACCGGTGGGAGAATAGCAAAACTTTAAAACCTAGTTAGTGCCTACACAAGGGCACAGAGGACAGTGTTGCCTTTCATCAAAATGAGATTATGATAAGTCATTTCTCTGTTTCCCTTGCGACTAATCTGACCTTTCATTTGAAAGTGAATGTTTAGGTTCCTGGTTCAAAAATAAAAATGAGATGACAGTTCTAAGACTTGCTTCTAAATTATGAGTTGTATTGATCTTGTAAACACTCCAACTCATTTAACAATACTTTCAACAAGGTAGATGTATAACAGAAACAGAAGACAGCTTGTATGTTTAAAATAGCCAAGTTACAAACTTTTTAAAAGGCAATTTGTCACTAGGTCTGACTTTTAAAAGTTCTGTTTAGAATTGTTATGGCCAAAGGACTAACTGAAAAATAAAAAGAGAAAGAAGAATACTTTTAAATGCACCTCATTTTCAAAAAGGTTATTTTATTCTGAACAGAAGCATGTCGGGAGTTCAGCAGCTTCAAGGAACATTGTGTGCTCTGAAGCACATTTGGACAGAAGCTGCCCTTCTGACAATTTTTAAACTACTGAAAATTGTCAAGGTTTCATTCTACTAAAATTAGCTTTATTACTAATATATCTTTAGTTATTACTATAGTTAGAAACCTGTAGTTATCCTTCTTGTGACTATACACAAATAAGAGAACTTGTTTTTAAAAGGAGAATGTTAATTCTTAATCACAAGAAAGCATTTGAATCAGTTGTACAGAGAGGTTCACAATATAATTGGCAGACTGTTCACTTAATAACTGCATAATTCTTCAGAGTAATCCGATGACTACAGTGGGAACAGAAAATGTAAAAATTATGGAAGTGACTTACTGAGATTAAATATTTTTTATAAATGAAAACTACAAAGAAAATTGTAAAATGTATACCTTGTAGTCTTTAAGATTTTGTGCTGCTATCCAGGTAATTTTTCTGTGTTGGGGGGGGCCGGGGGGTGGTGGGGGACAGGAATCCTTCTGTTGGTAGGTGGGTGAATGCAGTTAACTATGAGACTAAGAAACTAGTGTGAGTGGCTTCAGCTGGCAGGTCCTTTCATCTTCCCTCCCTCTACCCCCTAGTCACAGTTTCCTACTGGGATTGTAGTCATGGACTGTCAGGGAGAATATAGCCCTCAAATTAGAATCAGAGACACTGGTATGGTTTTCTGAAAGACAAAACAAGAGCAAGAGTGTACCACAAAATCAAAAGCAAAGACACCAGCATCTTAAAATACCCCAAGGCATTTCCCAAGGTACTTTCTAGTAGCATTCAGAACTGCTCTCAGAAAACGCCATACAGCACTTATTTTACTGGAGTTCAAAGAGAGATTCCTCTATAAAGCACATTGGCTATCTGGTGCATTCATTAAACAAATCAGCAGTTCATGAAAACCTTTCGAAAAATGATCTTTCTCTTTTCTTTCATCCTCTTTGTTTCCCAGCCGCCTATGTAGGGCACATCCCTTTCTGAAATCTGTGGACATGTTTAAGTTTCGGGGACCATCTACAGTTGGGGACCGGCTTGTCTTCAATGCCATTGTCAACAACACATTTCGGAACTGGTAAAGTGTGACGACTAGTGCCCTTAGGATGCTATAAGCAAATTAAAACTTGCACATAAATTGTTTTTATTTCAACTTGGAGGTGACATGGGAACTACTTCCAAATAACCAAGGTCCCTCTAACTTTTTTTAAACTTCACTCAATCTTCAAAGTCTGAAAACACATGTTATTCCTCTGTTCTGCTCATAAATTCTGAGTAAACTGTGATGGGTTGGTTATATCATATATTATATATCATACATGTGATATATGATGTCATATAATGCATATCTCAATATATGTGATATGATATATAGTATATGGAATATATGATACATACAAAATATATGATATATTTAATGTGATATTATAAGCATGTACCATATATATTACAAAGTATGTCCCAGTTGGCCTGAATGGCCTTAGTTTACTAACTTTCCTTTCACTCACCAGAGTTCCAGTGACCACATAGCAACTGACTCAAAATGGACCTGTCACTTACCATCATTATGTCCAAAACACTTCAGTTATTTCTATTATTATTGATATACAGTGAAACGGTTTAACTTAGTACCTTTTCTTTTTAACGTTGAAAAGAATGTATTTCCTATCAAATTTCAGTATTTGATTCTTTTTAATTACTGAACTATTGTCTTTAGGGGAAAGAAATACTTTGGTACAACTTCTACTTCCCCATTACCAAAAATATTCATGAATGTATATGAAGTCCTACCTGGCTTTTTTCCCACTTGGAAGTAGAAATGTTCCCAGGTGCTTACATCACACCCTCTGACGGGTGAAGTGGATTTGCCCCTTGCCACAGCTCTGCCGAGGGTGCTTGTTGTCTCCTCGCCTGGAGGAAGGGGTGAAGCCGCCGCAGAGGCAGAGGCGGCATGTGCTCTGCGCTCTGCCCACTGCCGGTGTCCTCTTCTGCAGCGTGGAGGTGGGTGTGCGCGTGGAGGCCTTTGACTGTCAGGAGTGGTCTGAGGGCAGAGGCAGACACATCAACAGTGCTTTTCTCATTTACCATGCTGTCAACGATAAGGAAGAACTGGTCACATTTCCCAGAATCAAACCCACCTCAAAGGTCAGTTATTAGCAGGTGAGGTTCGGGAACAGACCACTGACCCTGGGGGAAGCGATGGGTACCGAGCGCTACCCATAATGCTCTCACCAGCGATGACCTCCGTGACCCTGCTTTCTTTATTTCTATATTATAAAGTGAGATGGACTTTTTTTCTTTTTACCCAAATCACCATTCATTTGGTGGCAGTTTCGAAGATCTCACTTCTGCTCAGCCTCATGGAGACATTTGGTAGCAAGTCATCATCTCTGTCCCCGTTCTGATGATCTTCTCTCCCGATACATCCAGTTCTCCAAGCTGCGCCACATTCATCAGAATGATGTGTTGCCCCATGTCCTGGGGTTGCCTTTAGGCCAGTTTTCATCTTGTCTAACAACAACATAGAGATCTTCGGATAATTCTTGTCAGAAATGACCACAATATCCACTTTGAAAAAAGAAAAGAGATCTATAAAGGCTGAGCTATTTATCCATGTACTGCCCGTGGGGGAAGAGGACAGTTCATGCAGACTCTGGTGTACCAATTAGCACCTTCAACTGACTCAGAAGAGCGGGACTTGAAGATCGTAGCATTAAAATAAGACTTTCATTGATTTTACTTTGTTTTTCATTAAAGGATGATTTTAGACGATACAGGGGAGCTATTGCACGCAAAAGAATTCGCCTAGGCAGGTAAGAGACCCAGGCGTAAAGATCTTATGGAACCTACTCTTATCTGATCAACCACATAACAAAGGGCCTCTCTCTGGGTCTTTATTCCACAGAGTTCAAAGAGAAGGTCTGTTTTCTGACTGTGGAGGCTACTGTGATGGAAATTATCCTTCTTGATTGTTCCACCTTAAAAGCATCTTTTTAACACTGCAGATTTCTGTCAAGAAAACGCCATGGTTACTGTTGTGCATTTAATGCAGGAAAGAAAACTGTTATTTTAACATTTTTGATTTTTTTTCCAGAAAATATTTTATTTCCCACAAAGAAGTGGTTCCGTTCTGTGTACACTGGGATGTAAACAACCAGGTGACAGTTTTATGTCTTGGAGCTCTTCCTGTAAAGATCACATTATTACAAAAACAAAATCCCCTTGTTTAACTGAGATGAGGTGTGCCTGCATAGGTAGGTGAAATGGTGTATTCCATCACCAGTCATTCCAAAATGAGACAGAACCAAGGTCTCTGTGACTGGTTACCTACCAGCTGCCTCACCGCCTTGTTTGAATCATGTGTCGTTTCCGAAGTGTAGACTGGGATGCTCTGCCTCGAGTGCATGCAAGCAGCCAGTGGCTGCGAAACCTGTGAGACCTGGGGTCTTGCCATCATTTGTGTTTGATGACATACCCACTAGTTTGCATTTTGTAGCATAACAAAGTATTGATGTGCTCATGTTTTCCACCTGGACATAGGAGGAGAAATTCAAATTTACTTATTACCTGTGGATTACAGTATGTCATAATGAAGGAAAATCTGCTCTTCACTCAGGACACCACTGAAAGTGATACTAGTTTGCTAAGCATCTGGGCCTTCTGTCACCTAGTTGGAATTTTGAATCAAGTGGGGTCAAGACTGAAATTAGGTTACCTGTAGCCTAGCATCACTTCTGCTGTAACAGCATCCACTTTTAAGCAGAAAATATTAGGTCATATATCTCCGCTCCGAACTCAGCTTATAAAATATTTGTGTTTTAGGAATCCTTGAGTAATAGCAACGTGGAGGCTCTCAAAACATTGGCGGCCAAAAGTGGCTGGGAGGTTACCAGCCTTGGGGAAAAGGTAGGAAACAGTCCATTGTCTTCATAAATGGAAGTTGCCGTGATGGTCAGTGGTGGTCCTATTTCTACTCATCTTTTCAAGGTGAAAAATCTTTCAGGGAAATTATCTAAGCATCAAGTATTCTTGCACTCCTGCCTCTACTACTCTCTGCTGGCTGAGTTGGGAGTTCTTCAAACACACCCTCATGTTCCTACCTCTGAGCTCAGTTCTCATATTCTGCCTCTCTCTCCTCCTCTTCATCTGCCCTAATCTTACATGGTTTTCAAGATGATGCAGGGCAAACGCTTCTCCATAAGGCTGCTCACCACCCTTGGCTGAAGGAACTTTTCTCTCTAGGAACTCCTATAACGATTACTTCTTTAGTTTTCCAATTAATTTTACACTATTTTGTGCCATTTCTTCCACAACTATGTGGAACTAATATTTAAGTCTTACATAGTATAACACAATCCTATTCTCTAACAAGATTATAAACTTAAGACCTCTTATCCTGTTCTGTATCTCCATTAGCACATTTTGCAGGGTTTGTCTCACCAAATTTAAGTCAAGAGGTATCATTTGGATTTCAGTTTTGTTTCAGAGTTGTATTAGGAGACACTTTGAAGCTGACACCCGCACTAACTAGACTGCAATCTCTCTAAAAGTCACTCTGTTCACTACCCTAGTCCCAGAGCACAGCAGCGCCTGGCACTCAGGACATGCACAGCAATGGAATTTATGTTCATGGGTCAGTGTGTACTGTTTTTTCTTAATCATCAACAAAGCAGCAACCTCTAAAATAGGTGAACATATGTCCTGGTTCTCTTGGGACAGTCCTACTTGTCCCATCATTACTGGAGGTCCCATCGCACTTACTAACAGTGCCGCAAGTTGCCGTTCGGTTACCTTACCCTAAAACCAAAGCAAATTCAGATGCTACTTCATCAATTCTTTTCAACTCTGAACTCTGCTGCTTTGTTTTAGGCTGTTTTCTTTTATTATATTTTGTTGTCACTTTTGAATCTTTTAGGGTCCTCCTTATCCCCTCTGGATCCAGTTAGTTTCATCTCAACTTGGTTCAGAGATGCAGACACCAGGTCTAACATAAACAAGTTCTCCGTTTCACTTCGTCCCTCATTAAAGATCCTCAAGACTTTTCTCTTGCTAAGATGAAATCTACCTCTTGCATCATTGCTGGTATCTGAGTATTTATAAACAGCATTTGAGTTCGTTATAAATGGGATTTAACTTGTATTCTTCTATGAAAAGGGAGATCATATTTTTTAGAGGATTGGTGTTAGAGAATTTTTTCACTAAGAAAAGCTGGGGTTTTCTAAACTAGTAGGATTTAAAGAGAGCCAACAAAAACCACTATCTTTACTCAGCTGCTTTGTCTGCATCGATATCACTGATTCTGACAACAGAACAATGAGGAATTTCTGCCACCTTCATCTTCTTGGGGAAGAGTCAAAGTCTCATTCATTCATCACTACTATATAGGTCATTGAATAAATAAACCTAGCTACTGAAGTTAGTGTTTGCTTTGGCTCCGGCTGGGGAGTAGATTCCTGGAGAATAGCAGCTTCCTGGAGAAGAGCTGTGATTGTTTTCTAGGGTTGCCCCAGCAGTCCAGCCAACTGGGGGGCTTACACAACAGATATGTGTGTTCTCCGTGTTGGGGAAGCAGAAGTCTCACACACGGTGCTGGCAGGCCGGCTTCTTTGGAGGGAACATGAAAGAATGTTTCAGACCTCTCTCCTAGCTTCTCATGGTAGTCTGGCAATTTTTGGCATTCCTTGGTTTGTAGATGCATCGTGTGGTCGCTGCCCTCGTCTTCATGTGGTTTTCTTCCAGTGCACATATCTATGCCCAAATTTCCCTTCACACAGTGATACAGGCCACATTGGATTAGAGGCCCTCAACTAATTATATCTGCAATGACCCGATTTCCAAATAATGTCCATGTTCTGGAGTTTAGGATTTTAATTTATGAATAGGAGAGAGGGAATACTTAAGTCAGCTCTCTTTTTCTTCCCCCAGAATATCTAGTTTTAATAATGTGAAGATTCTTATGGTCACCTAGCTTCTGGGGTTTGTTTGTTTGCATTACTGAGGTAACATGGGTTTATAATACTATATATGATTCACAGGTATAGGATCATACCTCTTCAGATGTATGTTATCACACTACCCCACCACCAAGGAACCCACAATTCTGCTCTTAACAAGTGCTAAGTCCAAAATTATATCCCATTCCTCCCAGAGTTGACCATGACTGCTCCATGGCTAGAATCTAACCAAGGTTGTGGAATTCACCCTGGCTACCTGTCCTTGCCTGCTTTGAGATTGTGGAGCCCCACTAGGATGCCCTAGAGCCACAAGGCCACCAAATTTTGATAGGGTGACCTGCCACTGGACTTACGCCCATGGGTTGATTCTACTCCTGCTACAGAGGAGGCAAAATCAGGCATGTCTTATGGGGTGAGACGCAGCAACTAACCAGAGCCCCACTGATGGTTTTCTTTGTTTACTGGATACCCGGTTTAGCACATATTCTGTTCTGCAGACTGTATTGAAAGACAAGCCTGTCACTAAGGTCAGCTGAAGAGGCAAAACTGCATAAGCAAAGTGTCACTAAAACAATGGTTTTTAGTCAGTTTCTCATTTCAGCATTCTCTTCTTAAAGATATAAAGACTTTCTCCCTAACAGTCTGATTTTTTCCATCTGCTTGATTCCTGCAGTGAAGTCTTAACCTTATGTTTGTTTATACTCATGGATCGTTGCTATGGGAATGGTTAAAAGATAGCAAATTTCAATACTACCTTCAAAGCATCCTGAAAGATATGAGGAAATAGGCAGCATAACTATGTGCTCTTAGCTAAACACACATCTCCCATTATTAGCAAAAGCAAAGGAGGAGAGTTCAGAGGAATAAGGGATACATAAATATTTAAGTATATGTCAAATGGTCCCCAAGATAGGTCTCCTCTTACCCACAGAATAAGCATTAGAATACAGGAAGTGGCCTCCCAGGAGGATGAGTAGTTGTGATTCACAAATGGAAGAATGCTTTGTGTTGAAGAAACACGGTGCCTCAGGGACCTTGTTGAGAGTTTGAGCTGGTTCTAGAGGTGGTTGGCTTGCTTGCTGGCTCCCTCTGGCCTACTTGATGGCATCCCTGACATCCCAGGAAAATGTCCTAGAGTACACAGCCTGACTCCAAGGGCTCTGTGGGGAGAGGAGGCACTGACTTGCCCAGCAGGGTGGTGATATTTTCTATTGTTCCTGAGGAGAGGCAGGGACATATCACAAAGAGAAAAGCTATGTTCTTCATTTTTTATGAGAAAGACTACTGTAAAATAATTAAATAAGCTACCCTTACATCAGGTATTATTTTTGGAAAACACAGGGGCTTAGTATCCTGGCCAGAGCTCTAGACGTGCGAGTATTTGAAGTGAAATTACTATCATTGTTTCACTTCATTGTTATCAACCTATCAACCTATATATTTATGGTTTTAAAGTAAACATCAATTCTTTGGTAATTTTTTTCTTATTACCTTTTAGATAAAAATATATACTCTGGAAGAACATGATATTTTATCTGTTTGGGTTGAAAAGCATGTGGAAAGACCAGCACACTTGGCTTATCATCTGTTATCTGACTTTACCAAGAGGCCTTTGTGGGACCCCCACTACATGTAAGACAAATTAAATTTTTTTCTTAAGCAAACTTGACTTGACATCAAATAAATGCTTACCTCTTCATTTCAGTACCTCTCCACTGCTCAACATAGGACTCGTTTTTTATTAACTAAAGAATATTTTAAAAGTTTGTTCTACATAGGAACTGTATCAGATACTATTAGCAATAAAACAGTAAGAATTATAATTGTCATCTATATTAAAAGGACAAATATAGTTGATAAGTTGACCATCTCTGTCAGCATACCAATGCTTCTTCAAGCCTGGTATTATTCCTATTTAACAAAGTAGGGGTTCCAAGACTGCCAAAATTTGCACACACAGTAAAGGAATAGAACCAGAACTGGAAATCAGGTCTACCAGTTTCTTAATTCCACACTCTTGTACTGCAATATATAATTTTGTTGTCCTTCAGGAAGTGACTGTCTAAGTGTCCTCCCCCCTTCCCACCCTTGATATTTAATTAGGAGATCCCTCCTTTTCTGTGAAGCAGCACACTCTGATGAGAAGCTGAGAGGCTGTATGAATACTGAGGTAAAAGGCAGCCTCTCCTTTCTCCATGATCAAGTCCATTTCTGTCAGTCTCATCTCTTACTATAGTTACTTCCAGTCTCCTGCATCCCTAATTCAATCTCCTCCACACCCCTCATTTCCTAGAATTCTGAGCTATGTACTTTATCAATTGCACTGACAAGGTCTGACTGCACTCAGGCTACTCCCCTTCCTCCAAGGAGTCTAGCTCCTGGACTACAGCACTCATGGCCTCTAGACACCTTGCTAAAAGGAACGGATTGGTAAGAAGAGCTTCCTATTATATTAAGTATTATTGCTTACTTCTCAGTGAGGTACAGGTTCCTCTTTAAAATATTTAAACCTCACAAATGATTAATATAATAAACAATCTAATACATGAGGCATCTCTCTAGGGTCATTTGTTACATTTGCATAGACACTAGAATGAGAAGTCCTGGCTAACACTATCACAATAAAACATACATACTCCTCCATGAAGAGGACTTTTTTGCATCAATATTTGTAGTTATTTACATATAAAGCTTTTAGCAAGAGCAATGCCTGAATTTTGGTATTCTTTTTTTTTTTTTTAAAGATTTTTATTTATTCGTACAGAACTGGGGTACAGGCCAGAGATGCGGAGGGTGAGAGGGTTCACCAGAGACAGAGCGGGGAGCAGAACAGGCAGATCGACTAAGCACACTGCTGAGGGGAGCAGCGGGCGGGTCAGGAGAGGTCTGCCACGCCATGTGGTCACCTCCAGGGCAGGCGGGGATCGAACTCATGCGGAAGCGGCTCCAATTTCTCAGTGCAGTGCCCCAACCCGCTGCGCCACCAGGGAGGGCCAATTTTGGTATTCTTTTAAAATATTTTTCCACTACTTTATGCATCACCTGACATTTCTGCCATATTGAACTTGAATGATGAGTGAATTCTACTGAATTGTCTTTTCTTATGCACCTACTATAGCTTAGACAATATGGCGAATGTTTTCATTTAATACTCACAATAACCCCATAGTATTGTTATCTACTTTTTACAGATGAAAAAATAAAAGTAACTTGCCCAACATAACATTACTGCTAAATGGTAATCTTGATATCAAAGGGGAAGTTATTTGACTCCAGACAGAGTGTTCTTAGCAATATACCATACTTATTTTCCTAAGAGTCAGTTTTTGATTCTTCATGGGATTCACTTGTCTTCAAAATATTACATGATTCTAGACAAAAATAATTGTGTGGAAAATAGCTAAATACTTTCCTGTGAAGTGTTGAAGACAATGATCTTTGAAGCTGATAGCCACTGTTCTATCACAGGCAGAAATATCCCTCTTAACCAAACAGCAGTCTTTATTATGTGAGCAGAAGGGTGAATGTGGAGCCAATAATGAAGTGAAGAAAATGAAAGAATTAAGTGATTGTTCTAGTGTGCAGAAATGTGCAGCCTTTCTTTCAATGTTCTGTTTACACAGGTCCTGTGAGGTCATAGACTGTGTGAGTGAAGATAATCAGATATATCACATCATCTGTCCTAATGTGAATGATGAAAAACCCAAAGACTTGGTAGTGCTTGTATCACGAAGAAGACCTATCAAAGATGGGTGAGTATATGAATTCAAGTATTACAGCAATGTTTCATAATATAGAGTGGGAAAAAGTTAAGAAAACAAGGAAGTCAATGTAGACATTTCTAGTCTTGAATGATGTTCACCTGTTTTTTTTCTACATGGGTCCTTAGTTATCATTTTGAAAGAAAAAGAAACAACTGACACAAGCTATGCAACTTCTATCGACTGACAAACTCCGGATAGAAAAGGAAAAGCTCTGAAAACTCAGAATTTCCACTGCTAACTTATGTTACGACCTCCCTTTATTGTATAAGCATAATATCAAAATATTCTGAGCAACCATCAGTTTACAACTGGATTGCGTTAGCCTCATACGGCGGCTACCTGGTCCAGGCAAGCTGCCCCAGGGCGGCAAATCCCTCTGTCTCCTGAGACAAAAGGCAAGCCCCAGGAGAAATAAGACCCCAGGGCATAAAAACTCCTGGGAAACTCCCTTGGTTTCTTTAAATAAAAAGCAAATCTCAGATAAGACTTCCAAGGCATAAGGACTCATGGACAATTTGTAACCTTGTTTACACAGGTGTTGTTTAATACACATCTGTACAACTTTCTCTTAATTTACTCCTTTTTAAAACAAGCACTACTCTCTGCTAGCTTTAAAAAAAGCCATTAGCTTTTCTTTAGACATCACTGATAACACTGCTAACACAATTTATTGCTTCCCTAAGACCCGTAATAACCTGTTGTTAACAAGCTCATCCTTTCCCAGACCCCTCTTCCCTTGAGTTATAGCCAAACATCTGTATACATGACAATTATCACAAAAATGTATTATTTAGTATACCATAAAATGTTAAGAAAAAATGCTTTGTTCCGCTTGTCCTTGAGAATGTTTATGACAATTTATGGTGATCTCTCATTAACTTAGCCTATGCATTATTACAACTAACTACTTGCTACACAGTATAAATAAAGACCTGCTGAAGGAATGAGCAGGAAGACTTGCACCCAACTCTGACTCCCGTGTCTAACTCACACCTGCTCCCCTCTCCCCTTTCAGAATCTCCACTTCCCATGCCTTCCCACCTTAGGGCCCTGCCTGTCTCGCCTCTGGACACCTTGATAGTTGGGGCCGGTCCCCAGCAAACAACAATCGTTATTAAGCACCAGCCATTCATAAAGTGCCAAAGGCCTGACGTAGCTCCTTATCTTTTGCTCCATGCCCATTATTAGTAAAAACACACTGAAAGTTGAGTAAAGCATCAGGAATAGGTTAAGAAAATACAAATATTTGATTGTACTAGACTTATAAAATGGCTAGATGCCAGCTAGGGCTATGGATCAGGGTCGGTCTGTGACTTCTCCATGGGCACTGGGCTTCTTGTGCACAGTGTCTAGGTTCTAAGGGGCAATGCCGCCAGTAGTCAAGGAAGCAAGAAGTGGAAGCTGCCAGGATAGTTGAGGTCTACACCTGGAAATGGCTAAAGTATTTACTATGTCAAAGCTGGGCCACAGAACATTCATGTACTCTGTATAAATAAATTCACATACATACACACAAATAACACATACTCACATATTCATGTATATTAACGTACTTGGATATTAACACACTTGGATGTTCAGGGTCCTGATATTTATTATGGCAAAAGATACTAGAAATAAACTGAAGGGTCATCTTAGAAATTATGGTAAGGTCAATATTACAGTTGTACCATCATTAAAAAGGGTAAAATAGCCAGAGGTACTAATATAGAAATACCTCCAAGGATTTAATGTTAAATGAAAAATCAAAATGCAGACCCAGTATTCATAAATTGATTATATTTCTGTGGAAGTCAGTATGTATGTATTTTCTTACATTAGTTTATGGAAGGTACAGGTGTGGAGGAATAAATAACAAAATGTTTCAGTGATCATACTAGGATGGAAATGGATACTGCTTAGGGTAGACTGAGGAACACTTCTATTGTTAGTCTGTAGGATTCTCTATAGTTTGGTAGTTCTTTAAGTTAATGCTTTTTTTTTTAAATTAAAAAAAGGGGAGAGACTAGAATTATAACACATTAGGGTACAATAAAACCAGTTTGCCTGTAACTTTGTAGAATTATGCCAAGTGTATTGAATCTCAGGCATAACACACCAATGGCCTTCATTTCCTCTGCCGGACTATAGTGATTATTTTCTAATACATGCCACTCAGCTCGAAGATCGAGGTCTCAGAGGTTCATTTCTGCTAACATAGTTATATTGCATTAAATCTAGGAATTAGGTTTCTAACAACTCTTCACTTCTCAAAAGAATTTAGAAAATATCCTTTTATCTTTTAGTAACATTTTCACAGTGGCAATGAAGTCAATTATTCTGCCGTCAGTCCCACCTTCTCCACGGTACATCAGAAGTGAAATCACATGTGCTGGATTTCTCATCCATGCTATTGACAGCAGTTCATGCACTGTAAGTTTGATGAAACATCTGCAGATTAATTTGCTCCTACAGACATTGAAAAATCATTTCTCCTAATTTCCACACTAAGGGAACCCTATGGTCATCCTTTCAGAGCCATTCCAGAAGGTCCCCCAGAAGATCAGGGTCATAACTTCCCCCCATCCCCGCACAAGATTCAGATCCCCCTTTGAAAACGCTCCAAGTCAGTAAGAAATTAAAATATTGTATTTTCTTTTGAAACAGGTGTCTTACTTTAACCAGATTTCTGCTAGCATCTTTCCTTACTTTGCTGGAAATCTTGGTGGCTGGTCAAAGTCCATTGAAGAGACAGCAACCTCCTGTATACAATTTATAGAGAATACTGCTCATGATGGGTTAATAAGAACATTTTGAATGATAAACTTCCAATTGCCATAATTTGATTTCTCACTTTTTTCAACAAGAACCCTTAGCCTTGACACTTGCAAGCTTTTGGGACAAAAAATAATTTGATCAGCCTAAGCCAAATACAGCTAGGAGGAGGTTAAGAAACAAACGGCATCTCAAATCAAGTAACAGTGATTTGGGCAAGAATTAAAGAGCTAAGAATTATTTTTGATCATCTTCCAAAAGGAATAGATAATTGCCATATGCAATCTTATGTGTTCTGTAAAATGGTAGAAATTTGGCTTAAATGATCATAAACCTTTTAAGGTTGCAGAGGTAAAATGTACTCTGTTCAAAATTTTTTAAGATTTAATAAAATCAAAAAGGTAATTTGGTGGCACAAGGAGTTAAGTCTCAGCACTATGAAGCTATCCACAGCCAGTGACGCATGAGTTCAATCATGGCACAGCAGACCTCTCTTGTTTTACCCTCTGCTCCCCTCAGCAGTGCTTTTTTGGTCAATCTGCCTCTTCTGCTCCCCTCTCCATCTCTGGTAAATGAATCCTCTCTCACAGACACCCCCACCCCCACCTCACTCCTCTGGCCTACACCCCAGCTCTTATAGCATAATAAATAAAATAAATCTTTTTAAAAATATAAACTGAGTGATTAATAGTGTAAGTTGTTCCCTGTCCAGCAGGTATCTGTATGTCAGGAGCATCTGACAAGATTTATTACATGTTTTAGAGTTTTAAATTAGGAAGACATTAAAATATAATGGGAACCAATCAATTTTAATAATAGGACCTACTTTACCAGTGTCATTTAACATATATTCAAGGTAGCCAAGCAATTTAGTATCTATTGCTATATATTCACACACACAAAGTATCTGCAAAATGTGATATTGCAGAGAAAGAGAATATTAACTGAGCTCTTCTTTCATAGTCATTACAGTAGCACTTTATTCTTTAGCTTTCAACATTCATTATTCTAACCCGTGATTTGTCTTGACTCATATGACAAAACAGTATCTGTCAAGTTAGCCTCATCTGTAGACATGTCTAAAATATTGAAGAACTTCTTCCTTCAAGTTTAAAGCATTTAAGAGGTTGGGCACATCCTGCTGTTAGTTTGTCAAATTTCTAACTCTGCTCCCACTGCCTGTCTGCTCCACCCAATCACTCACTCAAGTCTAGGTCTAACTAATTATTTTCATTAGATTCTCAGTAGCTATGAATTTTCGTGAACTTTGGACTGTGCTCCAATTTTAACAATACATTTATATGTAATAATAATCATGGGTATGTAGAAAAATCCACTACATTCCAGAAGGAGAAAGATTTTTGAGACTATTTTTAAGTTTTTTTTTATGATGAAAAAATGAGTAGTAAAGGGATGAAATTATGCTAAAATTGTATAAGCTAAAATTTCAGAGCACTCATATAATTAAGACATTTTCAATAGTAGTCTGTCTTACATCTTTGAATTTATAGTTTTTAAATATTTTCCTGAACAGTAATAGAAACATTGTGAGATTGACTGAAAAGAGTAATTTTAGCTGGATGACTTTTAGAGATAGGGATGTTGCCCACTCTAATTTATAATAAAGGCAAAGTCTATACTTGCACAGATCAACCTGGACACCACGAGCCATATGTAGCTGTTACAATTGAAGTTAAGTAAAATCTAAAAATCAGTTCTTCAGATCACATGTGGTTAAGTGACTACCATAATGGATAGTGACCATTAACACCATCACAGAAGATTCTTTAGTGTTGATCTGTTTGTTTTGTTCCAGAATCCTAAACACCAAAGGACCTATTATTTTCCCATTTTCACTTATTGTCATACTAAACAATCCTTCCTATCTTTCTAAAGTTCTTATGAACAAAAACACATAGGGCTCACCCACCTGACTGTTTCTTGGTTCAGTCAACATGGTCTACATTAAAGTACTCATCTTGGAACTCCTGGACCAAAGAAGCTTCAAAAAATGTGACACAGGAAAAGACAGCAATACACTCAAGTTCTACTTAGGACATCCCAAGAAGCTAAAATCTACTGCCTGAAACGATGCCATAATAGCCTAGGCCTTACTGTTACCAATTCAGCAATGACCCTTAGGTTTGCATTTCTTTCTTACTGGAAATATATCTGACCATACTTTCATTCTCTTGATAAATATTTGAGATCCCACTTTATGCTAGACATTCCTAGGCAACATGGATTCAGTAAGGAAGAGAAGCCTATTGATCAGAATATTAGGAGATGAGAATTATGTGGAAAATAAGATAGGGTTAATATGAGTGCAGGGGAGGCAGTAGAGGTGTTGCTTAGTGGGATGGTCCGGGAAGGCTTCATGGAGGGACAATTGAGAAAAATCCCTGCAGGCACAGAGGCTGAGCCATGGTGATCTCTAGTTGCAGTGCATTTCCTGCTCAGCACGGGAATGCTTCTGATGTTTTCTGGGAGGTAAAAAACAAAAAAAAAAAACAAAAAAAAACAGAGAAACTAGAAATGCCAGAATAGAGTGAGAGATAACTAAGGGCACCTAAATTAAAGATAGCCTTTCTCTGCTATCTTTGGTGGTCAACCTTTAAGCAAATATGACTGGTTCTTTGCTCCCTAAAAATTAAGTCAAGGCCCTCCCTGGTGGCGCAGCGGGTTAAAGCACTGCACTGAGAAGCTAAAGCCACTTCCGCATGAGTTCGAATTCCGCCTGCCCCGGAGGAGACCACATGGCGTGGCAGACCTCTCCTGACCCGCCCGCTGCTCCCCTCAGCAGTGTACTTCGTTGATCTGCCTGTTCTGCTCCCCACTCTGTCTCTGGTGAAGTCTCTCACTGCCCCTGAGTCTCTGGCCTGTACCCCAGTTCTGTATGTACAAATAAATGCTATTGAAAAAAAAAAAAATTAAGTCAAGCTTCAGATTTTTCCCTTTGGAGTATCAAAATATCTTAAGGAACACTCGAGATTTCATGACTTTCTTGATGGTAAGAGTTTTCAAATGCTTCTAGCAGGACTAAACTTTTTGATTATGGAAAGAAAGTGATTTCTATTAATTCTTCCTGGATTTAATGTAATTGGGTTTCTAATCTGTATTCAGTTTTCTCTTTTGAAAGAAGAAATATAGTGGGAAAATGTGAAAACTGAATATTGTTTACTCTTTTACTCAAACACCTCTAAAAGAAATAAAACCAGTGTATTTTTATATTGTCCTCTCTCATTGTTCTATTCACATTTTTCATGGCATATCTCAAAGATAATCTTGAAATTTTTTATTGGTAAACTGATGAGTATTTTTGAAAATATATGTTGAACAATATATGCTAAGGAATAAATATGATTCTAAATTATTAAAATGGAAACTAGTAAGTCCTTTTTGATTTACTTCAGACATTTAGAGGTATTAAAATATTGGGACAGGCAGTTTCATGGGCCCAGATGGGCTGCACATACTAGTTACATAGCAACTAAGAAGTTAAAGGTGACCACACACTGGTCTAACTACTCACTTCTGGTGGAGGGGACTTAACTTGACTGCTGCTTGCTAAAGTGTTTCCAACTCCCTCACAGAGTGCTAAGTCCTGGGCTCCGCAGCTCTGACACAAATCTAGTAAGTCTACAGCAGCCGCCAGGGTCCTCATGACTCCTTCTGGGACTTGGGAGGAAAGGGAAGCAACACAATATTGCTTGCTTTGAATAGTACCGTCCTTTGTCTCAAAACCAGGAGAAGTGAATTCTTCTGTCAACATCCATGAAACAACAGCAAGCTAACTCACTGGCTTACTAAGAATCTCAGACCCTTCACAGTTCTTGGCAGTAACCCACCTTTAGATTCAAAAGTCAGAAAAATATCAGATTACAAATGTTTTCCTTCCTTTATACTTTATACCCTACAAAATTACTGCTGCCACCTTTCCCTTCCTCATTTTGTGCCCTTTTTAGGGACATTTGAAAACAGATTGAAGTTAGTGTCACTATGATTTCCATAGCTCATTACCCCTTAGGCCCTCCCTTCTTCCCTTACCAGGCTTTGATTCCACGGTCCTTCATTACAGAATCACCCCCTGGAAAACACCCATATCACTCATCTTTCATTCAGCTGGTCTGCAAAATCACAAACTTGGTTAAATAATTCAAAATGTCTCACCCATGTGAATGGAACATCTGAAAACTGTGTACTGTTCTCACTTAAAATTTCTAACCACAAATTTCAACAGCATTCAGGACACTGATAATCCTACTACATTTTCTTACAGGGTTACTATTCACACAGCTTCCTCTTCTTTCAACTTCTCATGTCTCCTCCAGCTCAGGAATCTCAGAAAATACTTTGACAAAATATAGATGATTAGGTAGGAGTCTTCACATATGCTCATCTATGCATCTTCCACATCCCTCCGCCTCTTCTATTATAATGGATGAAACATCCCTATTCCTGCCAAAGAATAATTTCTTTTACTTTCTCTAGGGCTTCAATTCTTCCTTTGCTTCAGGAATTTCTTTGCTTCCAGTAGAATAAGTTTCCATAACCATGATTACACTAACTTAGGGTACCGTCCATGGCCACTCTCTGTTGAATGCACAGTCTCTGGGCTTCAAAAGTCATCTACCTGACAATGACCCCCAAATCTATGTCTCTAGTCCAAATTTCTCCAATTTATTATTTCCACTAATAATCACTTCAAAGTCAGTATTTCCAACACATTTTTTTCTACCACCCTTCCTTCCGTAACTCCCCAGAACTCCACCTGCCCCTTCAGTAAATCTGATCAGCTTTAATCTGCATAGAATCAGAACCTGACCCGTTTTAGCCACCTCCACCACTTCCACCCTATTGTGAATAATCTCTCATCTGGCTTATAACCTTTTTGTTCTGTTCCTCCCTTCAGCTTAGTAATCATCTCATTTCTCCTCAAAAGTCATGAATAATTTAGTATCACATAAAGTACCACACAATGTTCTACAAGGCTATGTGGTACATGAGATTATTTTTCAGAAATGTTCACTTCCCCAACACCATCCCCATGTCCATGAGTGGAGTGTACTATCCTACCTCTTCTGTGAGTTTGAATGTGTGACTCATCCAGGGAACATTGGCAGGCATAATGTAACCAAAGACTTGAAAAGTGTTTTGCAAACACATCCATGCCACTGTCATGAGTAAAATATATGGAGATTAACCTGCTGGTCCCAGAAAGTAAGTCTTACAGACCCAGAACTCCTTAACCTAAATCCAGCTTAGAATGGCCAATTTCAAGCCAAACATTGTATGGGTGTGAGAACAGACTCCACTGAGATTAGCAGAGCTATTCAGGTAAGCCTAGCCTCTGACTCACAAGCATGAGCTAAATAAGGGCTTGTTATTGTATGCTTCCAAGACACTGTCACTGCTACACTGTCGGAATTAACTGGTAGAGCCTATAAGATATGACCCCTGCTAACTATCTGATCTTCTCCAAGTTTCTCCTTCATTCTTTTCCAGTCATATTGGCCTTTTGCTTTTCAACTACAACTGGCATGTTCCTTTCTCACTAACTGCATTTACACTTGCATTTCACATCAAGATAATAGGGCTTACTCCTTCAACTGTCTGGTTTTTACTCAAATATCTTCTAAAACTTTTTAAAGCCTCCTTTCTAAATGGAAATCCTCTCTCCCTGACGCCCAAGAACTTCCTCTCCACTTTTATTTAATACTGATAATCTAACATATATATTTTATCTATTTTTTTTCTGCCATCCCTAATTAGAATGAAAGTTTTGTAGAGGTATGACTTCTGTTTTATTCATTGTTATAGACTCAATATTAGTCTATTGTCTGGCATGTAATATGTATTTTTTTAACGTCTTCCCCAATTTAAAGTTAAAATTTGTTATGTATATCTTGTCTTTGCAAGACTATAAAGAATTTGAAATACTTAATCCACTCTCCTATATTATAGTCTACCACTACCCACAAATTACACATTACTTTTAATCTTTTAAGTCTTTGTTTATCTATGTATATGCTAATGTATGTGCTTTCTATTCTTCCTTGCATCTTAGACCTTATATATGATAAGACTGCTTTTGCCCAAAACATTTAGTTTTAGTAAGTAGCTATTGGTAGTATTCTATTTACCTTCTAATTACTTTATCTGTCCCTCATTCTTTAAATATAGTTTCATGTAATTCTGTATTGAAAATTATTTTCTCTTAGTATATTGAAGATTTCTGCTTGCTTTCATTGTTGCTTTAGAAAAGCAGTGAATTTTTTCTTTTCTTGTAGGTAAGGTCTTTTCTATATGAATTCTTTTAAATCTATTTTTTTGTGTTTAAAGTACATGTAATACTTTTACTGAAAAGATGTTTAACATCTTTTCTGAAAACTATTTTCATTTTTGTTGACATTCTAGTCCTTATATACATAAACAGAGTCAATCATAGGGTTGCAAGCCATAATTGGTGCTCAACACAATGATCCACTCCCACAAAATGCAGTACTAGCCTAAGAAACCTTATTTACCAATGCAATGTAAATAGCAAAATAGTTCAATAGTTTATATAACTGCTTTCTCATGTATAATAGAGGCTACACAGAAATAGCTGATAGTCTCTAAATCACAGAAGGCAGGTGACCCAAAATAAAAAACTTGTGCTTTCCAAAACTTTCCAGTTACCCCAAAGTAGGACAAAAGAGGACCATGGTATACTTCAGAAGTCAAATTCTCACAAGCTTTTAGTCTTAGACATTGACACTACATTGCTGTTTATACATCACTAATATAAGCATTGGTTTCTCTGATATTCTTGCAATGTTATTTGTGACAAAACTTACAGAAAGAACTCTGCTTGCACCAAAGCAAGGTAGGAAAAAAAGGTTACCATGTGACAGCAAGAGCCTAACCTGTTTACACTGAAGGTTTTACAGTACACTGTCACAACTAATTGTGTTTACCTTTCTGTTTAACAAACTTGGGATATGTTAAGTTTCTTGAAGGATAGTAACAAATGCTCATTGATATAGGAAAATTCCTGGCCCTTTTTTGAAAATACTGTTTCTTCCTTATTCTATTATAAATCTGCAAGCTTATCTCAATTCATTGTCCAGGAGTAAAGGAGACTATATATGTCCATGTCCCTCTGTAATATAGTTGAATTTATTTTACAGTTCCTATTCTGTTCGCTTGCCTTGTCATATCAACAATTACATTTTCAGTTCTTTAAGTTTCAGTTGATTACTTTTCAAATCTGGTGGTTGCTGTTTTAATAGCCTCCTGTTCCTTGCTCAACTCTTCAATGTTTCTGATTTCTTTGTCAAGCATACTTATTTATATACGATATTTGATCATTCCAAAATATTTGTAGGGCTAATTTTCCTGTTATTGCTACTGCTGTTATTCATGATGTCTAATCTTCTTGTGTAAGTTTGTTCTACCAAGAAGTATAGCCCCTTGAACTTTGTGATTTGTTTGAAGTATAGATTAGAGCTGCAGAACAGATGACTACAAGTTTCTGCCAGTTGCTAGCAGAGCACTTCTAAAATAAGGCAGTCAAAAATATTTTTTTTTAATGTTCATAGGAATATGTCACTTACCTGCTTTAAGCTTTCCTGTGAGGAAAACAGGCAAATCTACAGAGAATGAAAATAAATTAACGATTGCCACAGGCTGGGCTGGTAGGGTGTTCGTAAGGGTTGGGGTTAGGAAGCAGTGACTGATGATAGTAAGCATGTTTCTTTTGGGGGTAATGGAATGCTTTAAAACTAATTATAGTTTCTGCCTCTTCTTGGCTCAGCCCCTACAGTACCTGAAAATCCCAGCAGCTCACTGCTCTTCTAGTTGCTCCAACTAGTATAGCTACCGGCTGCAACTCTGGGGTCCAGCTCTGGAAACAAAGGTGGAACCAATCCCCTTCTTAGCAACAGCCTGGGCAGTGAAACTAAAGCCCAGCTGAGAGGCACCTCGAGAGCCCAACAGGGAATACTAGCTGTGAACCTGGCTCTGAGATTTCTGGGCATGAAAGGCCGCTGAGGCCCTTATAAGCTGTAGGTCTTTATAGGTTTTGCAGTGGAAGATCCTGAAAATCTTAAGACTTTTGGAGTTCAGAGAAAGAACTTTTGGGGGTAGAGGTGTGGGAGTGATTACTTTTTTTCTCCAAAGGTGAAAAGTAAATATTTATAGCTCCAATTGTCCAGGGCCTTCACGTGTTAATTTCAGGGGGAAAAATATTTGTAGCTTCACATTTCTAACTTGAGTGTATTTTGTAAATGGCACTAAAAATATATACAAAACTGCGTATGCGTATCTGTCATCTTTAAAAAGGAATGAAATCCTGATATATGCAAGGATGAGTGTTAACCTTAAACATACTATGCTAACTGAAATAAGCCAAGTACAAAGGACAGCTATTGTATGATTCCGTAGAGGTAAAATGTTGTTTGATCTTTGTATCAAGTGGTGGTAGGGAGGTGGAGAATGAGCAGTACTGTTTTAACAGGAACAGAGTTTCAGTATGGAGTGATAGAAGTTCTGAAGATGGAAAGGGATGGTTATGCAGTAAAGTGAATGTACCTAATGCCACTATACACTTAAAAATGGCGAAAGTAGTAAATTTTATGTTGTATTTTACTACAGCAGAAATTAACCTGGAAAAAAAAAAAAGGAACCAACCCCAAGAAGAATGGCACTAACAGTCTTGCATTTAAAAGTGTATAAAAAAATTAGACTTATCTTGCAGCTGACAAGTTTTAGATTCTCCAGAACCTTTTGCTTCTAATAGGACAGATGAAATGATTTGGGTATGTTTGGACTAAATGACCAAAGCAGTACTGCTGTCCTCTTCCAGATGCATGATCTGTGTTAACTCCAGTTAAACAGACTGAGCAGGATTCTGTCATGTTTTCCTGTCTCACTGAAAATAAAAGAACAGCTCCTATTAAGACTAGAAGTGGAGTTGTACAGAGAAGTGTTTTTTTCCTATTTGGTAAATATTTTGATTTGATGGCTCAGTAACTAATCACAGCTGTGTCCTTCACTTACAAATCTATCCAATCAGGTAAAATTTCAAATGAAATACACAATCCACTAGTCATTCCATTATACAAACAATGGAAGACTTAATGAAATATTACATATAAAGACTATGAATTCATCAAAGATGCTAATAAATCTCTGATTAGCATTCTAACTCTTATTATGGTGGCATTTGCTTCTTACCCTAATTTATCAAAAACATGAGCAAAATGCTAAGTTTGATAAACAATCAGTTGTGGGTCATCATTCTGATTGAAGACCTCAAACTGAATTTTGTCTAGAATATGCTCTTGAAAACCAAGAGCATACATTGAGATATGATTCAGTTTTAACCTTATTAATTTTGTGAGATTTTATGTCAAAACTGAAACAAAAATTTACAAATTCCTGTATTATCTTCACCAAAGAATCACATTTTTTGCATTTCCAAAAGGACTGTTACAGGGACACTAGTCGACAATGTCTAGTGCAAGTCAGAATTAGGTATTCAGAAGAACAAGAGCAATGAGTCTTTATTCAATATTTTAAAAATACAGATTTTTGTAATTTATAAATATCTATTATAATAATTATAAATCGATACTTTGCACCAAGAAAACAATATAACCAAAAATTCATTTCCAACTGCAAAAGCAGTTACTCTTAGTTTAAGGGTAGTTTATATTAATGCATAATTTTGTTAAGATGATTGTTACAATCAGGTTTATAAACACTTAGTTATACCTAAGTTCTATCTGTTGAAAAAAAGTTCTTTCAGAGAATCCAATTTAAAGATCTTCTATTTTCCTTCAGTGGTTTTCTCTAAACAGTGGGAAGTACTTCTGATGGACAAGGAACTCAAACTTTTGGACCACACCCAGATCAAACCGCTACTGACAATATAGGCCCAGGGAGGCCAGCTCCAACTTGCTCAGAATATAACAATGACATGGTAGTTAGCAATAGTACTAATGTTCAAAAGTTAACAACTTTAGGTGTTTTTGTTTTGGGTTTCTGTGGTTTAGGCAAATCCAAAATTTCTTCATGGTCTGCACTCATTCCTTGTGCCCAGCGACCAACTGTGACCATTCGATCTGTAGACAAATACAAGAGTCTGAATGTTAGAAAAACAGTAATCAAACACATCCACCTACACTGGTACTGGTTTAGCAAAGAGTCACGCAAATAATCACAAGATGAGAAGACTCCATCACTAAAGGAAAGTAGCATTTCTTTTAATTGATTATAACCCTTGATTTCAGAGTACCACAGGCAATTTCTCATCCCAATTAGGGAAATGCAGCAACTGCTTTGCAATGCATAAATTGATGAGAAAAGTCTTTCATTCTTTCCTGAGTTCATCATTATAGAGTCAATGAATTCCAAGAGTCTGTAAACAGCAAGACTTATGAAGCATCAGTTTTAAATGTGTTAAGAATCCACCTGTGAATTATACAACATCTGCCTATCAGTCTTGTCTGCTGGGAAGTGGCAATCCTCCCAGGAGGGAGAATTCAGATTCTACTTTATCATTCTCTGCCTACAGTGTAATGAAGACTTATCTTTTAGACTAGATTGTAAATGAGAATTCTTGGTTTTCAAATTTAAATGTTTTGAGTAAGAAATAAGAATGGGCAAACTTATTTATGTAATAATGTGACTATAAAAAAATAAAAAGAAATGTGTTTTCCCCTAAGAAGCACTATTGGGTTAGTAATACACAGTCCAGAAAGTCTTACTTTCTCTCATGCAGGATTATCATCATTCTCATCTATATAACTAATATAATTATGGTCTCCGCTTCCCAAAAAGTCTGCCATAAATATAGGACATAAGTGAAATTGTTGATGATCAAGGGTAGTATTCCATTAGGAAGAAAATATTACTGGTATATACACTGTGTAGGAAACATTTTTAATACTTTTGGCAGCTTTTGAAATTAACTCCGAATTCTTCAGGTACAGAGTATGTAAGAAGACACTCAATCATAGGAATATTGAAGGTTATTTTCATGTTTATTAACTCTAAAGAAATCAGTATTTTAACAGAATTAGCAGTTATTAAATTCTTGAGTTTGCAAATAAAAATGTTTATGAATAAGATGCTTTATAAAATCAAGGTGATCTAGAACATACTGAATACTTTCTTTTCCACCTGTGAAAATCATAGAAAAGCATAGAAACCAATGCTCAGTAGGTCAGTGCTATATCTACTGCTGACAGAAATGAGTTAAGTCCTCACTATACTAGGAGACCAGGGTACCTTAAAAACTGCAGTAACTGTGAATAGTTAATCACAAAATGCAGCAAAAAAACACAGCATAGAAAGTCCCTTTAAGTAGAGATCCAAATGTATTACCTGAATTCTGACTTTCAGGGCAATCTTTCTGAAAATGTTCCACAGAGCCACAAAATCTGCAACCACCACCTTATTAAAAGAAAAAAGGCACTGAAGATCTCTCATGCAAAGGACTTTTAATGTTTCATTAAAATAATCTTATTTGATTCTAACAGCCTTGCCTACATGAAAGAAGTGGGAAAAGGAGAAAGATGGAAGACACACACTTGTGTCCTGGAGCATCCAAAAGGCACCACAAAGAAACCTGGATCTTAGATAGAAAAAGAGTGTAAACTCTTGAAGCTGTAAGCAAAATTAGTATCCAGATACATTTTTCTGAGGAGGTTTATAGTTTTTATCAGATTTTCAAATGGCCAATAGCTAAAAAAATGGTTATGAATCCCTAGTCTACTGTATAAGTCAGATAAAGGTGAGCAGTTATGAAAAGAATGAATTAATTTTTAGTTTAGCACCTTTTATCTGCCAGGCATGCTAACTCTAGTAAATGCCTACTGACTACTTTTAAGTAACATTCCAAGAGTATGAATTACCACACATGGCTTTTAAAATGAGCGATTCACTTAGTGGTCAAACACTATTGTTCAGTGAGCAATCATGACCATACTCATAAAGTGACTTAGGAAAATGGCTTTATAGGGTATAATTCTTTGAACTATTCCCAGTGCAGCAATTTTTTTTTTTCAATAGTATCTTGTTCCAGTGCAGCAATTTTTTTTTAAAAGTATCTTGACTAATGGGCAAAGCTACATTTGCCCATTAGTCATGCTATCTGACCTATTGACCTGTATCCTTAAAATTATTGAACATTTTCCAGGCCCAGGCTTCTTTTCTGCTATATATGTCAAAGTGAAATACAAGAGGCACCTGAATATATTTTAATCCTCATAACTCTTCAAGATAAACCTAATTTGAAAATATAAGACACCACTGATTATAAGATGCATCATAATTTTATATACCTTTCAGGAAAAAAGAAAAATTTCCAATTATGTGGAACACACCATGGTTGAATATAGTCTGAACTCCAAAATGTGCATTTCAGAATTAATGAAACAGTTTTATCTCCATTTTACACATGAAGAAACTGATATGAGAGAAGTTAAATAAATTGGCCAAAGTCCCATAGCTAGTAAGTGGTGGTGCTGATTGCAAAAGCTACACTTTTTCACTGGACTTCTCCAAAAGACTCCAGGAGATGAATGAGAGCTGGCTAGAACCTGATGATAAAAGTCATCATGTTAACAAATGACTCAGTAACAGGTAACAGTCTCCTTAAAGTTTGGGATGTCACAGATTTTACTGTGGGAACTTAAAAGACATTAGCTAAGCAAAAAATTATCCATGCTATATCTAAGGAAAGCATTCAGAAACAAAAACTACTACAAATATCAAATAGCATGTATCAGCCCCGAAGGCCAAAATGGTAGTATACTAGTCTGAGATTATCTTCACAAAACTCTTGTTTTAATTGAAGTAACAACTGGTTTATAACATTGTTCTTTAGAGGTATAAGATCACCCCCTTAAGGCATAACACAACTTTTTAAATCTAGTATTAGTTTGAGATATAATCCCTTTGCATCTGCATATTTAAAAGTAGATATTTATAACATTCTCACAAAAGATGCTAAAGCACAAAATGTTTGAAATGCAGAGCTTAGTTTTTTTCCAACTTATTGTCTTATTTTATATATCTGCAGTATTCTGCTATCAACTCTTATTACATATGATTTGTATAAGAGTCTAGTACATAGAATAGAATTTGATAAAAATAAAAAAACTTAAGATTTTGCTACTTATTCAAGAATTTACTGAATTACAATCTTTACGGTTAATTCTGCATAACTTACCATTTTGACATATGTGGGTTAACAGATAGTACTCACCATCAGCATAAAGTCCTTTGGAATTCTCAGGACAAGATCTGGACAGGTGCCCCATTTCCCCACAAACAAAACATTTTGCAAAAGGAAATTCACCTATAAGATCAACAGTTCCGGTTAAGTAGTTATATTTATTTATAATATTTATAATATATATTCATGTTACATATATTGTATTTATTATATCTATATGTGTGTGTTACATATATAAATATTTCTAAGTACTCTGGATAGAAAATATATTTCTTTATATATTGCTAATATATAACTTAAAATTTAAACTCATATGCTTCAAAATATTAAGCAGCATACATATAAACAAACGCTGTCAACAAAAAAATTCCCCAGTTGCTCTTCAGTGACCACTTTCCCCAGTCGCCACACCAAAAGCTGACAGGGAAACAACATACCAAGAGCGGGGTCGACTTTAGCCTTGCACTTGGTTATTTCGTGCTCTGTGGATCCACAACGGTAACAGATTCCAGTGCCCATCTCTTGATTCTCAAGGGCAGCTGGGCAATCTGCAACCCCATGCCCGGGTTTTCTACAATGGAAACACAGCTGGGAAAACAAAATATGAGTTTCAACAATGCAAAAGTTGCAAGCTTTAGTAATTCTTATTATCAAAAATTCTTGAAAACATTTCTCATTTTAAAGGTTCCTACTTCTTCTTTTTAAGTCTCAATACTTTGTCTGTAGAAAAAAACAGTTTTACATGTTCCTAAACAATGAAATGTCATTTCCATTAGAAAGTCTCAGTGCTTTAAAAGACCCTCAATCCACAATCCATCAATCTTAGAAAAAAAAGTCCTAAAATGGCTTTGTAAAAGTTAACTGCTTAAAAGAATTAAGCAAATATGGAGTAATCATTTGACTAATGGAGATATCTATATTAGATTAACTGAGTTTTGTGCAGAACATACACATAATAAAAATTATCACTCAAAATTAGTATTAACACTTTGGGTCACATGATTTCACTTAAATTATGATTTCAATCATACATAACCAAGGGGTTCATACCAAAAAATATTTTCTTATTATATCATCCTTATTATCCAAAAATAGACAGCTTTCATTTTTAAAATACATACAGAATACATTTTAGAGGACAATTTATTTTGAGATGATTTAGTTCCAACATAAAACTGAATAATAGTTTGGTGCTTTCCATACTATCTATGATTTTTTTTTCTTTTTAACAATAAGGACATCAGTGTCATTATCATATACCAAGAGCATGTGATTTAAAACGGAAACGGTATATGTATTTCTTGGATTTTTAAATTAAGCATAAGCTTGTAAAAACAGCAAATTTAATGGTTAAAATAGAACATATAATTGCACAAAGTGCTTATGATTTGTAATTCTATTTTTTAAGAAAGTGTAGTAACTGGCAATAAATCCTGATTTTTCTGGAATATCCAGCTAGAAGACTTGGGAAAGTATATGCTATTTCATTCTTGCTTCTGACAGCTCAAAACCTAGGGCTCAGCAATACAGAAATAAACCCATAGCACCTAGACATTCCTGAGTACAAGTACAATTTGGGGAGGCAGGGAGCAATGGCTAGCTAGAGTCACAAAGACTTTAAACTGCTACTATTCTGCTCTGTTACTGACTGATGTGATCCTTACTAGACCTCCTTTCTATCCTCGGCTTTTCATGGAGAAAACCAAAAGAATATCGCTCCCAAGTAAAAAGACCACACAGATCAACCACCTTCTTTATTTTGATCTCTTTAAATGGCTGTTTAAAATAGGCTATTGGAAGGCTGGGGTGGAAGCTTATGTTTTAAAGAGAGCATATGTTTTAACCTCTGCTACTTGATGAGTGATTTTCAACAAGATACTTAACCTATCTGCACTTCAGTATTTTCTATCTATGATATGGGGATAACATCACCATCTTTGTTGTGTTATAATTAATTAGTAGAACAAGTGCCAGAGAGTTGAGAAAGAAATCCCAGTGTTAATACTGGCCCTCAAAAAGATACTTCATACATCTAGTACATAACAGTAATCACTCTGCTGAAATAAAAGATATATATGTGTGAAGAGTATAAATTTGTTTTCAGCCATTAAAGTAATGTTTTGGTAGAAGTGATAACCTTACCATTGCATTTTTCTTTGCTGCTTGTCTTTTTAATCGTCTTCCTTCCCGACGACTATCTTTCTTTAAAGCAACTGCTATTTCTTCCCTTACTTCCTGACTATCTGCTGCTATCACCTCCCGATTGTGAGCCTGCTGTGAGTTCTCTCTTAGGTATTCCATAAATCCATTCACATCTTCATTTAAGTATTCCTTTTTCTTTTTGTTCTTTCTGTGTTTAGCTTGGGGTGCATCATTTTTCAGGGACAGCTTATTGGCTTCAAAGTGTTTACTCTTTGGTGAGCTTTGGCTGTTTCCCTCAGAGGAACCCTTCTTCATGTCCTCCCATGATGTTGCAGATAAGGGTCTCCTGTTATTTGTGGTAGTAACTCGCGCCCACCTGGTCATAGCTGCATCAGAGGTACCTTATCAATCTTTAAGACAAATATGGCTGGATAGTCGTAGAAAAAAAAAATTAGAAAAAATAAGCTAAAGATATATGCTATATCACATATGCCTATGTACTAAAAGCATTAATTACTTAATTTTTTCACTTTAGATATATTTAACTGTATAATATGCTGCATAGATATGTCTGCATAAAAATCTAGCTCTTGCCAGAAAAGTTACTACACCAGTAAAACAACATAAAAGCGGGTATATAAGTACTTGCTTAAATGTGAACCATTTATTTTGAAAATTCAAATTGCATAGTAATCAGTGAATGAAGTTAATTCTTCCCAAATTCTGCAGTTTTCCCGGTCGTTTATTTTCCTATCTTTAAGTACCTGGGATACTTTCTCCCACTCTTCTCGCTTAGTCTACCAAATCAATGCAAACAATTTACAAAGCAAATCAGTATACAGAAATCGTGTCTTTTGAAGGGAAGCCAGTCATTACAACATTACCGGCAGGCTCTGATAAAGATACAAAAACAGTGTTACGGTTGACGTGAGACTTCTCTCTACGAGCCAGGGCGTAAATTAACTTCCATCCCAAAGATTTAAAATCTTCACTTGTTATTATCAAGTCGCCCTTTTCAGGGCAGCATCTGGGCACCAAGCCTGTGTTAAACTCTCAATCCCTGCCCTCTGAAACACCCCATCCACACAGCTGAGGGGCGGAGCCTATGGCGCCTAGCAACACGCCAAACCCCGCGACAGTCACAGAAAAGGGTCCAAGCCGCCCCAGAGGCGTGTTATCCTTCCCAGGCGGGTACGTGGGAAGGCCGACGCTCCGGGTACCAAGACGCCGGCGGCGCTGCCGCCTGGGACACGCCTCCGGAGCCCGCACTCCACCTGCGCTGGGGGGCTCCGGGGCCTCGCGGCCAGTCCGTCCGTACTCCGCGACTTCCCAGGGAACGCACTCGCGAACCCTACCCCTCGGAGCTGCACACGGACTCACGTCTCTCAGCCGTCCGGGGCTTCTTACCACGCACGAACCCTCCCTTACAACAAAGTCAGCGAGCCAGAGAAGACCGGGCGTCCGGCGTGGCGTCGGCTCTTCTGGCCGGATGCGCGACGTCCCTGAAACGCGTCACTTCCGGCGAGCCCAGCCGTGGCTGGCGGGAGCTGCTTTCGCAGCGGGGCGTTAGGGTCATGCGCAGAGCTGGTAAAAGGTGACTAAGTAATGCTTTTGGAGCGCTGATTCTTGAAATGCATTTCTCTGGCCACGGGAACACCAACATGAAGAGTACTCAATCACTGTGACTTAAAATGGACAGCTTAGAAGGAGAAGTGAGTGGGCTGGGAGATACTGGAGTGGTTTCCTCGAAAAGAGGATTTTGAATTTAAATAAAACTATGGTGAAATTGACTAAGGAGGTTGTTAAGGGTTGTCCAGGTTCAGGTAAAGTAAAGGTATTAACATAGTGGAAGTTCATCACTGTTAGAAAAATTTTAAATACCTTTGGTGAAAAATGGAGCCCTTCTGTTCTGTGGAAATGTAATGTGGTACACCCACTGTGGAAAACAGTATGGAGATTGCTCAAAAAGTTAAGGATGGCTCCACCCTATGAAGGTTATTTATTCAAAGACAATGAAAATACTAATTTGAAAAACCCTGCGTTTTTTTGCAGTTATTTATAATAGCCAACATATCAAACTACCTAAATGTCCTTCCGTGGATGAATGGATAGAGAAGTAAGGATACATGGAGGAATACTACCCAGTCATACAGAGAACGAAGTTTTGCTATTTTTGACATGTATGGAACATATGAATATATTAACTGAAATAAGTCAAATAGAAAAAGACAAATATGTTTTCATTTGTGAAATGTTAAATAGAATGACAAAAGCAGGGCCCTCCCTAGTGGCACAGTGGGCTGAAGTACACCATAAAGCTGTCTCTAGTCACTGCAGCACGAGTTCCATCCCCAGCCAGGGAACTGACCCACATGGCACAGCAGACCTCTCCTGACCTACCCGCTGCTCCCCTCAGCAGTGTATTCCAGTCAATCTGCCTGTTCTGCTTCCTCCTCTGTTTCTGGTGAAGCCCCTCACTCCACCCCCCTCAGCCTGTACTCCAGTTCCTGCATGCATAAATAGATAAATATTTTTTAAAATGACAAAAGCAAACTCCTAGATACAGAAAAGATTGATGGCTTCCAAAACAGAAGGGACGTTGGGAAAGGGTACAAAGAATGAAGGGGTTCAATTACATGGTGATGATAGCAACCAGACATTTGCTGGTGAGCTCAAAGCATATATAAATGTTGGATAATAATGTACACTTACATAATGTCATAAACTAATGTTATCTAAAAAGTTATTTGGTAATGGGCAGTGCCTGATGGTACTCCTGTTTGATGCTAATTCAACATTCAATGAAATACTGTACTTGTAGACAAAATATCTTTTTAAGAGGAAAATCCAAGTCTACTAAACAACTCATGTCCATGAAACCTCCCAAACAGCTATTCCTAGTGGATAAGATGGCACTATCACATCCACAGTTCACTAGGACCCTACTGCCATTCCCAGCAATGTGCTGATTCACTTTACCTCTTCTATACGTCTGTCCACTTATCTGCTACCTACCTTGTCCTGAATTACTGGCAGCTAGTCTGGGCTTCTGTTCTTGCTCCACTCCCTCAAATCTGTTTTCCATTTCTTCACCAAGTGAATTTTGAAGATGTAAATCAGATTGTTGCACATTTGACTTATAGCCTTTCATTTTCCCATAGTTCTATGGTGAAGTTCAAACTCCTTAACATGGCATTGAGTCCCTTCCTACTTACTAGCTTCACCTGTACAACTTCACCCTCTTCTTGGAGCTGCAAGCATACGAGCCTTCCTTCAGTTTTTCAAATGCCACATGTACCTCCAGACTGTACATGTGCTATTCTCTTTGTATTCTCTTTGATTCATTCATTTCTTTCACCTTTCAAGGCTTTCAACAGTTTATTCTCAAGTAAACCTTCCAAAATTGCTTTCCCTAAACTAAATCAATCCCCAGCTGTCATATCACAGCATCATATACTTCTTTACAATACTTTTTAAATCTGTAATTGCCAAATCAATCACATAGTTCTTTATTATATCTCCATTGCCTGGTATAGTTGATGCTCAGCATGATTTTGTTAACTATATAAAGAATAACTGTGTCACGATGCTTGTTAAAGCATCTATACCCTGCATACAGAGCTGGGGTACAGGCCAAAGGTGCAGGGGCAGTGAGAGGATTCACCAGAGACAGAGTGGGGAGCACAACAGGCAAACTGACAAAGTACACTGCTGAGGGTAGCAGTGGGTGGATCAGGAGAGGGCTGCCACGCCACATGGGTCACCTCCAGGGCTGGGGATTGAACTCACACTGAAGTGACTGCGGCTCACTTGCAGTGCTATTGTGCTTTAATCCATTGAGCTACCAGGGAGGGCCCTGACCCAGTTTTCTTTAAGAGGAAAGATTATGCATTAAGAAACATAAAAATGGGCCCTCCCTGGTGGCGCAGCAGGTTGGAGCACAGCACTCAGAAGCTAAAGCCACTTCCACATGAGTTCGAGCCCTGCCTGCCCTGGAGGTGACCACATGGCGCAGTAGACCTCTCCTGACCAGCCCACTGCCCCCCTTAGCAGTGTACTTCATTGATCTGTGTGTTCTGCTCCCCACTCTGTCTCTGGTGAATCCTCTCACCGCCCCTGCACCTCTGGCCTGTACCCCAGTTCTGTATGCACAAATAAATTAAAAAAAACAAAACAAAACAAAACATAAGGCCCTCCCTGGTGACGCAGGGAAGCTTAAGTCACTTCCGCACGAGTTTGATCCCCGCCTGCCCCAGAGGTGATCCACATGGCGAGGCAGACTTCTCCTGACCCGCCCGCTGCTCCCCTCAGCAGTGTACTTCGTTGATCTGCCTGTTCTGTCTCTGGTGAATCCTCTCACCCTCCGCATCTCTGGCCTATACTCCAGTTCTGTATGAATAAATAAATCTTTAAAAAAAATATTAAAAAAAAAACATAAAAATGTATATAACTTGTATTATTCTGATATTTGTTTTACTTCAATGATTTTGAACCAGACCCACAGATGACTGTACTGGGATTTGGAGTAGTTAAATTGGACAAATGTTCTAGGTTTTGTGGTCTTATGGGGAAGATTTTACATGATATTATATGGAGATATAATAAACTATTGAAAGGAAGTTACTTAAACTTCCTTTCAATAAAGGAAGTTTCTAGAAAATAAAAATGTTTTCTAGTGCTCCTCTTACCATAATGTTCTCAACCAGCTGACTTTAGATTCTCAGCACCTTATGTAGTCACATTTCATAGAGGCTTTCTTTCATAGCCAGACAAGTGCACATAACGTACGCCACTAGAGGGCACTAAAGAGAAGCATTCAACTAATACTTGTCCTACAGAGTACTAGAAAGCTGTTCTTGGAAGTGAAGGACATGACCTCAAGTTGATTTTCTAGAAGTACATCACGTAAAGATTAGTAATTTAGTTATGGGAATTGAGGCTATATAAATCCTTTAGGATTCTGAAGAAAATATTACTACTACTAAGAGTTTACTCTCATTAAATAGGCAGTGAATACATTAATTACCAAATTAATAGACCCAATATACTAAGAGTTAGATGAATTGTTTTATAAATTTTGCAATGAAGAAATCAGTTCATAAAACTGAAGCAGTTTATCCAGTAAGAAGTAAATCGGGATTTGAACTAAGAGATGCTTGGCAACCTGGCTAAAGTGACTGTGGGTGCAGGACCTGGAGAGCCAAGCCCAGTCTGGGTGAGCCCACCTTTTAGCTGAGACCAAACTCTGGTGTGCTAAGCTTCAAAGTAACCTTCTCGGCTGGAGAGTAATGTGAAATGGAGCACAGTGAATCTAAAAAGGAGGGCTGGGACCAGATTTTGCCAAATTAAAATGTTTTTAATACTAAATTAATGTGTTTGCATTTTATCCTTTAGATCTTAAGCAATGAAGAACTCTAAATAGTTGTTTAGTTCATATGTGTGTGTGTATATATATAATATATATATCATAAAATAGATATAGAGACTAAAAATGTACCCATTGCAGTATTCAGAACCCTCTGGACACTTGCAGAAATTCATTAGACTAGAAAACGAGAGAAGGAGAAAGTAAAGAATGGTCCTGCTCTTGCAAATAAGGTCCTGATCAGTGACATTCTAAGAACCTCTTCCTTAAAAAAAAAAAAAATTGGTCCCTCCTTGGTGGCAGCAGGTTAAAGCACAGTAGTAAGAAGCTAAAGCCATTTCTGCATGAGTTCAATCCCCGCCTGCCCCAGAGGTGATACACATAGGGAGAGGTAGACCACTCCTGACCAGCCCACTACTCCCCTCAGCAGTGTACTTCGTCAGTCAGCCTGTTCTGCTCCCCACTGTCTCTGGTGAATCCTCACCACCCCTGCATCTCTGGCCTGTACCCCAGTTCTGTAATATTTAAATAAATAAATCTTTTTAAAAAAATTCTATCAGTGATTACTTTATGCTGCTTTATGACTCTGACAGTAAGGTCAAGGGCAATGAAATGTAGTTCTTTTCTGCTCCCCCCCTCCTTAAATGTTATTTAATAAGTATACATTACATTTAGAATCAGTCCCTTAAAGAGTTTTTTAATATATGGAAGTTTTGAGATAACACCTGAGAATTTTTGATTATATGTATATTCATATAAATGTACATTTTAAATTCTGTATTCTAGTTTTATGGGTCAAGAAATGAAGTGTCAGGTCATATGGGTTGTCATAAAACAGACACACTGCTAATGACAGATTATTTCACTATAAGACATGAGTATGGAGATGGCCCTATATTTTCTTTGTAATGTTGGTTTTCTTAATAACAAAGATACAAGCAATAGTGCTTATTCAGAAGTGAAAGAAAATAGCTTCTGAAGTGACTAGAGGAGAATGCCATTAATGGAAGTTGCTTGAGATTGCTAAGCAATAAAGTAGGAATAATAGAAGTTTGTGTTCTTCTGTGACAAAACTTGATTTTTATAATTTTTGTTTAAACCTGGGAAATAATAGCATTAGAAACATTAATGACAAAACAATATTATGATTCTTATCTCACCCTCTTCTGATAT